CAGGACTTTATTTCACATTGGTGCAGAAGAGTTTTTCACAGAAACGTATGCGTTCATTCTTAGTTACGGTTAATTTTTGCACTGTGTAGGGCCAATATTGTGTGTGCATCGTTTTCAGGAACTGGAAATTGCAGGAGTAATCAGCCCTGGACTATTGCCAAACCCAGCTTAATTCCAAGGGAGTACGAAAGAGGCATCATCATAATGTCTCATTTTAGAAGAAGAACTAGAGGCAGATGGGTGTACAGCTCAGCTGTTCTATTTCCTATGAAAATTAACTTGATTTTTTTCCTGGCTACTGATGTAAGAATTACGAAGTTAAAGATCAAAGCATGGAGAATTACAGCCTTTGAATACTGGATTGAGAGTAGTATTTATTTGATTGGGGAGATTTTTCTGTGATTATAAATACGAAAATTCCTCATTTGGGTTTATCTTGTGCACTAAGACGACACCAGGTCCCCTCTTTTTATTGCCTTTTCCTTTGAAATGTCTGGTTTTACCGTGTCATGGATATTCTCTTTATGGAGGAAATGGCTGTATCTGGCCTAGCTTCACATGTTGTGTGCCCCTTCTTTCAACTTTGGTTTCTTTTTCCAAGGGGTAGATAAAGAAAGAGAATGGATCACAGATATTAGCACAAGTTTGTTGAGTTAATAATGGGTAGGTGTCTCTTAGAGGAAAAAAAAAGGCTCCGTTCAGAGCAGGTTTGTTCTTAAGAGCAACAAAAGCCAAAGCCAGATGTGTCAGTTCTTTATCTGGCAGAATCTCTTGCTCTCTGGAGCTTATGTGTTAAAAAAGAAAAAAAAGTAGTAAGTATTATTTCCGTCCATCTGAGGTAATGAGCTTTAAATTAAGATTTAGGCGAGAGAACAAAGGATGAAGCAGAAACTGGTCGTGTTCGGGAGCAATACACGTTGGAAAGTATTTCCTTCTTTTTCCTCCCACTACTTGGGTAAAAACTGGCTTTAGTGCCCGTGTCGTGCCCCTGGATGCGTCGCACGCGCTGCAGCAGGCAGGGTGCTTCGGTCTGTCTTCTGTGGTTGTAAAGTAACGTGGTAGAGGGCACTGAGGGATGTGCCATACAGTGGGCTTGTGGCAGACCTGGAAGTTGTCACTCCAGTGCATTCGGCAAGTCTGACGTTATTTTCCCAGTCTGTCACGTGTTGGAAAGCTTTCCATTTGTAGTCCCAGTTTATTCTTCATTCATGCTCTTTGCCTGCGACACCGGGTTGTTCCAGGTAAAACGTTGGTGCCAGAAAATGCAAATGCATCTGCACGATCCAGTTTGAGTTCCTTGTGTCTAAAAGCATCTCGGTCATAAAACACAACGGTGCATATGTGTGGTTCTCAGAGAAATTGTGTAGTTTTGGCTGGTATTTAGAAAACCAAAAGTTTAATAGCAACTATTAAGTGCTGTCCAGAGAGCACGGAGGCTGAAAGAGGGTGGAAGAAAATGATCCCTTGTTTTTTGTTTGTTTTGGTTTTGGTTTGGTTTTTTTTTTCCACTAGCCTCTACTATGTGGGGCTGTTTGTTTGTTTATTTTTTAAATAAGCTTATAATTACTGAAAGTAGATATTTTGAAAACAAAGAGAATGGATTTTTCCCAGGCACCTCCAAGGTCCTGATGCCCAGCGCTTCCATGTTACCAGATGGCCTTGAGTCTTTCTGGAGCATGGTGGAGATGCTACAGAAGAGATCTTCCAAAGAAAAGCTGAACCCCATCATTCCTGTGCTTGCCAATAATCATGTACTGGAAAGAATAATCTTGATGACTTGGTGTCGCTTCCTTCTTCATCTCCTCCGAGCTGCAAATGGCTTTTCTGCATCGCCCACGGTGCCCCTGGCAGGCACCTCCTGCACCAGCCAGGCTGGGGGTCCCCCCGGTTGGGTCAGAGTTGGTACCTTGTTCCTCTCAGCAAGCTGACCACCTTGTCACACCTCCTGGTGTTCTCCGCAGTTCTTCTCAGCTGATGGAAGCCAGAGTCTTTAAATAGTTCAGGGCTAAGGAGCAATTTGTAGACTGGAAAGAACGTTTATTTTTTCCGAGGAGTCATTTGGCCTGTTGGAAAGCGTGGGGTGAACTGGGTCACCAGGGAAAGACGGGCAGTCGCCGCTGGAAATCAGTAGCTCCCTCCAGAAGCAAAAGGCAGTAACGTTACTTGGTACCAGGAAGTAATCTCTTAGAATTTGGAGGGTTTTACTCCTTACATTGAGACTTTTCCATTTGTTTTGTTGAATTTCAGTTCACAATGTCTACAGAAGCAGTAATGCCACTTCTTTTTCAGGCTCGTTTTGGTTTTAGCATGGAGAATCACTATCTGAGTGTTAATTGTGCCATTTTGGTTATAAAACTGCATCTCCAAGTTCAATGGGTGTTCCATCAAGGAAAACGTTGCCTGAAACTGAGCAGCATGTGCTGCTCAGTTTGTTTGCGGTGTAGAATTTTATGAAGAATTACTGAGCCTTCAAATGAGCCATACGTTGGCACCTGAATTTCTTTTCTGTTGCTACCGAAATGGTATTATCTGGGTTGTGCATGTTTTCTCCTCACCACCATCACTTTTATGATAACACTGTACTTTTTATAAACAATGTCTCCCAAGTGGCATACATGACGTGCCTCTTCTGCTGCTCCCGTTGCTCTTCTGATCTTTTTGGACTATATTGTCCAGTTAGAAACAATGTGAGTAATTGTGAGAAGTACAGCATACACTGCACGTAGGGATAATGTGCTTTAGCTGTGGCTGGTGAAGAATACGACTTCCAGCAAAAGGGGTAAGAGGTTGTGCCTGTTGGGTCATCTGCTGGGGGGCAGCGAGCGTTCCCGGGGGAGTCAGCCGAGGGCTGCGGAGGTGCACGGCCACCACGAACACTGCCGGGTGCTGCAGGTACAGCTCGTCATGTAGGTGCAACTTTGCGTGCGCAGAAGGTGGCAAAAGTTGATAAATACTCTGTTTGTGTTGTTTGCAAGAATGCGGAAGCTTATAATGTGAGATTAGGGTTGGAAAAGAAAATCGAAACAGCTGTCAAGTTGGAAAAAAAAAAAACCCAACCCTGAACTCGGCTGGGCAGTAGGGAGGAAGGAGAGAAAAACGGTTCGTGCGGGTTAGTGCCTTGCCTAGAAGTGAACCGACCTGCCCGAGGGTACGTGGCCACCAAGTGGCAGCAGAAGGCTCGGCCCAGGAGCGCTGGTTTAGCCACCGGTGCAAAGCGTGAAATCATGAAGCTGCAGAGGGAGTTTGTGGAAAGGAGAACATAGACCTGAGCCGAGCAGGAGGAAATGCCCTGTGGTTTCGTGGAAATGTGAGGCTCTTTCCCCCAGCACTCCCCCAGCCTCTGACAGCGCCTGCCGTGCTCACTGCAGCTCATGCCTGGAGTGGGCTGAAAAATGTAAGGACTCGTCTTACTTCTTGATGGACGTGCAGATACCTACATAAAGTGTAAGAATTACCACCAACGAATTGTTAGGCTGTGGGAACATCTGGAAGGTGAAAAGCCGGAAACTTCTGTTTCTTGTCATTCACAAACCCAGTCCCTGTTTTACTGGAGTGCTGCAAACTGAGAATTTTGTCTAGTAATGGTGCATTGTAATAGCTGGAATAAAGAGCGGAGCCTTTTGCTGTTTACTTCACCCCTCGGTGAAGCAGAGCCCTTTGCCAGCGGCGCGGAGTACGGTGTAACCAGAGAGTGCCGATGGCTGAGAGTAGGGTTGGGGAAACAAGCAACTGCTTACAGGAGGTGCAAACGTTGCAGGACTTCTTCAGTGTTGGTGAATTAATCTTAACGTCAATAGCTTTGTACCCTTACGGCAGCATTCTTATGCTTACAAAATTAAGGACACCAGAAAACATGCAATCTCTTTTTTTTTTTCCCCTAGTAATATTAAGGAATCCCATTTCATTGATGGCGTTACAGTTGTTACTTTGCGTGGTGCCTGGAGCGAAATAGATCTGTTGGTGGTTTCCACCAGCAGGTTCTGCTAGGGGAGTTTGAGGGGGTGGGTGGGTGGTGTGTTTTTTTAAAAAAAAAAAAAAAAAAAAATGGAGAGAAAAAGCTTAGGGCAGGTGGAAAACAATATAATCTGCTGTCAGATGAGATCTTCTTAAGCAAAGTTGATACGGCACTGAAAGCCATACTTGTATTTTTTCAGGATAATGAATGTGAAAGAGGCCAAGACTTAATTATCTATGCACAATGTATTATTTCAGTAACTATCTAACTTCAGCACGTAGCTCAGTACAGCTGCGAAACAAAAGGTGCACCAGTGCTGTGTTCTGGGGGGTGTTAACGTTGGTCTGCTGCAAATCCGGGGTGCCAGCAGCAGCAGCTGACCCACATCTCTCCCCCGAAGGGGAAGGGTCCTCAGGTGCACCGCGTTCCCCTTGGGAAAGTGGCAGATCTGTGAAATAAAAATACTTGGAGTAGAAGAGAAAAAACACCGTGGTCTGTCCTGCCTTGTACGTTGTGTTTGAGCTTTACATTAGCGCTCAGCAATTTGTCAAAGGCTTTCTAGTGTCTGGCACTGTGCTTGTTCGTTTATTTATTTATTTGGGCTTTTTATTTTGAATGTCTTCCAAAGAAAGAGCTTAAAAAAAAAAAAATTCCCTTTATTAAATCCAAGAAAAGAGCTGTGGAGTTGGTGGTTGCCCTGGATGCCTGGGGAGATTAAACGCAGTCCCCAGCAGAATTCTTTGTGTTTGCAGAGGTGCTTCTAAAAATTTTGTGCAACCTGAGATAAGGACAGTGTTAAATCAACACGGAGTTACTAAACCAGAGAGTCGGTTCCAGCATCCAGAACTGGTTATTTGCCCAGGAAAACACTGCTTTATAGAGAATTGTTCTCAGTTCGTAGCCATTCCCATGTTGGAGTTTATTCCCTGTTTTATGTTGACCGAGTTTAATGGGTCGGTTCCACACCACCGCTGCAAATCAGCTGTCACGGCCGTCTCACCGAGGGCGGAAGGAATGCTGAAACGTCTCCGCTGTTTCCTTGCAGGACCAGCTGAAGCAGTGCTTCTCCAGACAGCCCCCAGCAGCCAAGGACACCGACACGCTGGTGCGGGAGCCCGACAGCCAGTACGGCACCTGGAGCGAGCAGCGGCACAGCGGGGACAGGTGAGGGGGGCTTGCCGCGGGTGCCAGCTTCTCCTCAGCTGGGCACTGAGGAGGAGCCGTGGTTTCGGGTGCCTATGTGTGCACACGTGTGGGTTTTTTAAGTTGCACACTCACTTTCAGTGACTATACACTTCTTTAACCTAGAGGTGAAGAAATATTTCTTTAGGATCCGCAAATTGCAACGAGGTTTGAAATTGAAGCTCCATCCTCCGGTGAGAATGCAGTATTGCCACTTTTATACCCAGAGACAAAACCAGCTTGGACTGGAGGAGATTTAACAAGTTTGCTAGTGAGCGAAACACAAGTTAGATGTTACTTCTTGGTGCTAAAATGGTAGAAAGAAGATAAGGGAAAATCACTTTTTCTTAGGAAATACGCCGAATGGCTTTGACTAGATCAGCATGGGTGGGAAAATTCTTTTTCACGCTTTGTATTTATGTGTTTGTGATTATAACTCTAAATGTACATTTGCACATTTAGAAAGTGGTGTGATACGTGCCTCTGATGGGTAGAACTAGGGCTCTGGGATGATTCTGCTAAAACTGTCTGATTTCCTCCCTCTCGAGCACATAAGGAAGTGTCTGATTATGGTTAGACAGGGTACACTAACAGTTTTGGGATTTCCTTTTTTTTTTTTTCCTAAATTTGGTCTCTCCCATACTAATTAGCATTGCCTTAAAAGCTGTGCTCCCAGGTAGGCTGGATGGCCCCAATCCCTTTGAAACGGGTGCTCCGAACACCGGGCACCTGCTGGACAGCAGGATGGCACACGGTGTAGTTGTTAACGTGTACCCATCCATGTGTCCTGGTAGACCTTTGGGCTACGATGTCCACAGCTCGCTGATGAAATGGGTGGGATGGACTATCAGTTGAATGAAAGACAGCATTACTGATGCTCTTCTGATATTAAAACAGTTTAATGAAATAAACCTGAAGCATTCAAGTGTCAGGTTGTTTATAATTTACAGCTGCCGTGTAAGTTATAGCTTGGTCTACACGATCGAGCCAATATCTTACCTGCTCGATGTGGGACGAAAGCAGAATTTTGTCTGTTTGGGTTTTTAATGCTCTACTTGTCGAGTTCTTTTAGCAGATCTTAGTGTCAATTATGTTTGGTGTGTTCTACACTCGAGAACTGTGCGTTATAAATGGTTTATTGCTTATGAAATCAGGGTAGCTTTCAGCCTGAAGTTCAGTGAGCGGCGTGACACGCCGACAGTGCCATCCGAGACTTCTGTCAAGTTAGTTAAAGACATTTTCTGAAATCGATTTCTCAACAAAGGTGCTTGTCTCAGCTCCAAAGCAGACAGCATTTGAAGGCTGTTTCAAACCTGGAGGCATCTTCCTCATTAGAAAAGCTCCACCTAAAAAACTGGTTTCTCCAAGTTTTGAACTCAATCCCCATGTCCTGGAATTTTGTTTCCACTGTAAGAAATGTTTGTTGTTTTTTTTTTTTTTTTTTTTTTCACAGTGCAGTGATGACAGTGTGGTGACTTTTCAGTGTTTTGCCACCCCTGTGCTCTGCTTTAGCTTGACTTACACTTCATTGCGGGACAGTTACTGGTGTATTAATTCAAGCACTTGGAGAGGAATGAGAGTAACGTATTTTAAATATTAAAGTTTAATGGAAATCTTCCTGGAATATACTGAAACTGCATTTTACTTGCAGCAGAAGCCAGGACAAGTGCAGGCACTCTCCTCCTCTTGCCATGGGTGACTGGAGCACGTCCCAGTGTCCGGCTGCTGCCGAGGCGGTCGTCTCCTCCTCTGCCCAGCCCGGAGGCAGGAACTTACTGGAGACTTTGATAATTCCGCCTTCCTGTTTTGCCTGGCTCACTTCCCTTAGGCTTTATATCTTGCCAGCTGCACGTCCGTGGTGCCACATTCCCCACGTGCCCCGATCCACCCTCGCAGCCGGCGCTGGGGCCGTCAGCCGAACCCATGGCCGGGAGAACCGGCACCGTGACCCGGGAGGGCACCGGGCAGCAAACGGGGAGCACCGCGGTGGGGGACACAAAACGACGTCACCGGGCCGCTGCTGCGGCGTGGGAGGAACTTCCAGTTCCTGGCATTTTCCAGCGTTTGAGTCGTGAAGCGGTTATTTAGGAGGGTTTTAGTAGTACATCTGTGAATGAACTCATTTTCTCTGGGAGAGGAAGAGAATTTTTTTTAAAAATTTTAAGAAATTTAATTTGAAGAAAAAGCCTACATTGCAACAGGAGAAACATGCTCCTTTTGCTGGATCAGCTCCTGGGAAGGCAGAGGAAGGATCATGTTCAACTTGAACTTAGTCACTGCTGGAATAGGCGTAAGGGGCTGCTCTGGGCTGGTTGCGATGGGCTTTGGCAGATAACTCCTTAGAATGGACAGAGATGCTTTAATTCGGAGGTGTTAATTGGATTTTTCTTAGCTTATTTAAAAGATAGTATTTTTATTTTTTCTCAAGGGCTTTAGAAAGCTTTTCCAAGTTGATGTCATAGAAAATTCTTGCTTTGAGATCAGAATAGTCTTGGTAAGGAGAAACGATTCTCTTTTACAGAAATGGGACTGTATTTTCCAGGTGTTGGATCTATACAGCTCTGACTCCACGGGGTTTTAGCTATTTGTTTCTTCAAATCCTTGAAGGTAGACTACAACGAGGTTTCGGATAAGTGAACCCACAGGGTGTTGGCTACCTGTAAAAGATGGGGATGTTCAGTTACAGAATATAAAAGGGCATTTTTGAATGGATGTTATTTCTTGTGCGATGCCCTGGGCAGACAGTGAGAGCCGCCTTCTGATCCGGGCTCCTCAGCAGTGTTCCTGTGAAAAGTGGGATTCCTTTATTTTTTGACTCCGAATTTCACATGATGAAGCAACACGTTCTTTATGGCTTCTTAGCACCGTCTTGCTAAAACTAATTACATTTCGTTGCAATTGAAAGTGAAGATTGATCTTGGCTTATTGGGTGTTTGTGACAGCTGTGGTGCTGATGTTTGTGTGCACTACGTGCAGGGTGGTTTTCCAGAGAAGCAAGTGTCTGTTTGTGACACCTGTCCAACGTTGTTGGTAGCTCATGGATACGCTCATAAAACTTGGAATCTTACTGAAGTACTAGCAAAAGGCACATAATGCATCTCAGTAATGAGAACTGAAAACATGTTTTAAATTTCGGTGTTTGACCACTATTTGGAAGGGAATTTTCCCCCTAATTTGCTGTTCAGATGGAAAGAATCCACTGTGCATAACAGTGCTCGTGCTGGAGCCATCCGTGTGTTTGGTGATGAGCTGTGCCGCAGTGGTCAGCGTGTGACGGGGCTGTAATTGTGCAGGAACTCCCAAGGAGAATCCATTAGGAAGGTTTGTGGATTAGAAACCACCAATCAGTGTAAATTCATCTGAATTTCCATCATTGCTTATGCTCAAATATTTCAGTTTGGAAAACTGCCGAGTTGTATTAGCTGCAGCTCTGGGGTGTGGAAGGGAAGAGGCTTTCTGGAGATGTGCCAGTCGGGCAGGATCCTTCTTATACACCTTCTAATTTCCACAAAAGGTGGTAAGTCTGCAGGTTGTCTTTTGTCTCCACATTCTCCCATATTCTGGTGGATCTAAGGCCTAACACTGCAGATACCAAATATCATTCAAAGCAAAAATACGAGATAAAAACTTCCCCCTGGAGCTCATTAGTACCATTTCTTGATTATCCTGGGGCCCACTGAAGGAGGGAAGGGGCATTCACCCTGCTCGTGTGCTGGAAACCTCTGCGCAGAGTTCGCTGTGCCAGGCTGGAAATTCTATCGTGTATTGCTGCTTGATAGAAAGTTTTTATTCAGCAGTAGACTCCTGAGTGTTTTCCTCCCAAAATTGCTGTTGCTGTGGACTGTACCAAATAGTAAGGTCTATTGTTTAAAAAAAGAGCATATATTCATAGATACATGTTCAGATTTTTTTTTTAGAACAGTTTTCCTAGATATTTGCTCAAGAAAGGGCACTTAATAACAAAAGACTCTTGTTTAGCAGAGAAAAAGAGTCTGATCTCCTTAAATACTTTAGGTTTTATTTTTTCAACTGGGAACTCCTAAAATTAGAAGCCAGACAGCCCTGTTTTTACCAACACTAGACTCTGACTGTGTTTGCTACAGTCTCCTGCTGCTTAAAGGAATTCTCCAGCCTGTGTGACAAAGGGAGACACATAGCTGCAAACAGCTTTCAGACCTGACACTGCAACTCGTTCCTGTTAGTCTAGGCAAAGGGAAGATTTCTAGGAAACACTGGGAGCATCACACCGTTGGGGTGCAGGTCCTGCTGCCCTCGGTGCTCTCCCCCAGGCACCCCCAAAGCCTCTGCTCATGGAGCCCTGCCTTGGGTTCCTTCAGCTCTCCTCCCATCCCTGGAAGAAGTCGTCCTCTGGCTGGCAGTGTTCAAGGCCAGGTTGGATGAGGCTTTGAGCAACCTGGTGTAGTGGAGGGTGTCCCTGCCCATGGCAGGGGGGTTGGAACTGGATGATCTCTGAGATCCCTTCCAACCCAAACCGTTCTGTGATTCTGTGAAAGTGTAAGATCTGCTGCTGTTACGTATCAAACGGGCAGATTGCCAAGGGCTTTTAAGCAGCTTGGTGTTTCCCTCATCTTGTTTGTGTGCCCACGTTTGAAGGGGCCTTTGTGCTGGGAAGAAGAAGCTCCAAGCAATAAGAGCATGTTACAATCAAATTATTACAAGTTATCTGCATACTTGCATTATTCAGTGCCCTGTAAGTCCATGTGGGTAAAAAGCTGTGATGGTGAAAGTCATCCACACCTTTGCTGCTGGTACCTGCTGCCTCCAAAGGTGCCTTTGGTACTTGTAGTCGTAGTTTCAGTTCTACCTTTATTTCTTGTCTGCAGAGGATGTGTGATCCAAACCATCCTTGCATGTATTTGTGTACCCCGCAGTCTCACAGGTTTCATTTTCTTCATTTGCAGCTTTGTGCCCGAATCTCCTTCCTTGGAAAATGATGTCATTTCAACGAGAAAGCAGCCTCCAAATAGCCACCCATCGTCACTGTCCTCACAAACAGAACCTGCCTCCCTGGCTGATCACCATGACTACTCAAAAGACCAAAGGAGCACAAGTTTGGACCGTTCCAGCACTGACATGGACTCAACCGACGGGACCGATTTACCTCCTCCGGGAGACACCTACCCTGATGGAAAGGCCACTGATTTCTCTTTCATTGATGTAAGTTACCAAAATGGGAAACAGAAGTTCTCCTTCTGTATGTTAACTACATCTCTACCCACTTCAATCACTGCAAACCAGTATCTTCTGGAAACTCTGCTCGATCTTCCTCTGCCTTTTCTTTTATCACACCAAATTTTCCCAGCTGTTTTCCTGCCTGAAAAGTTTTAAGATCAAAGCTACAAAGTTCTTCTAGTTCCTGTAATGCCCAAGTTCTGAGAGATTCCAAAAAGCTATTGGCCTTGGATAATGCCTGCCAGTGGCTCCATAAAGTTGCTGTTTCTCTTTCTGCTCCTCAGTGAGCTGCAACAGAAGAGTTAAATGGCTCTACGAGCATTGGAAACATAATTAAATAACACAAATAGCGAGTGATGGCTATGCTATGTGCCATGCAGATTTAAGGCTTTAAAGGCATTTACTACTATTTTTCTTATTTACAGCTGATCACTTTCTGTAGTAGCTTACAATTGCATTTGAAAGGATTTTTTTCATACTGAAGAATCTTGCAGCTAGGATAAGAACAGTAATTTCTGGCCATACGGAGTTCGATGAGGTTTAGTGTTCTTTGAAAGCACTAACACAACTGTAGTTTTTCAGTGTAGCATCTAGGAAGTGCTGCTTTCTCTTTAGTAGGAGTTGGTGCCCCTTTTTTGGTGTAATATCTAATGGCAGACATACTGGTAAGTGCAAAATAACCAATTTAAATGGATGGTGCAGCTGCTAGGAAGGTCTCAGATACTGCCTCGCCTGCCAAAGTGCCATAACGCTTCCGAATTGCGGAGCAGACTGCTCTCTGAAACAGAAGGATGCAAGCAGGCTTGTGCTGGAGGCAGTTTGGTCTGGTGCAGCAGAACTGACTGTTAAAATCACAGCTGCTTCCTGCGTGGGCTGTCTGAAAGTGCCTCCAGCTCTGTTCTCCGCTGGCGTTGCCGTCTACGGGGAGCTGCAGAAACCTGTGTTTTGCCAAAGCAGGTGCTGCTCTCATCTTCCAGCCACGTTGGTTCTGAAACAGAGACCACGTTTGGTGGTCTCTTGCTTTGAGGTCCTTAACTGCCTGTGCCTTGGCCGTGGTATCAGCTAATAATCCTCTGGCAGAATAACCCCAAGTGCACTTCTTGCTCTGTAAAGGAAGCCTTAGTAGCCCAGAAGAGCACAGAGAAATAAATAAATAAATTCTAACTCCTTCTTTCGCTCTGCAAATGTGATTTGTGAGATATCCATACCGTTGTGCACTGGGTTGGATGTGTTTGAAATGACTGATCACAGAAATTTCCTGGATGCCGTGACACTTAACGTGCAGTCTCCTTGTTGCTGGTGAAATCTCTGGATGGCAGACTGTCAGAACAATGAAGCTGCAGTGCTCTGCTGCTAGAGAATTCTGTGTAGTTGCTCTTTCTGGATCCCAGTCATCTTACTGGCCTTCAGCTGTTGCTAGCTAGCAAGGCCTGTATTCTTAAAACACTCTGGGAACGAAAATCCTATTTATTGCAGTTATTTTATTAATTTAGTGAGAATAATTCATGCAGACCAGACATGCACAGCCAAGAGAGATCAAAGAACCAGTATTGCACCCAGTTAGCCGCTATGTAGCATATCCTCATCATAAATTCTCTTTAATATAGCTTTAAGTAACTACAGGAATAATAATCAGGCAAACATATGTAGTTTAATTAAACTGAATGGGTTGATGTGTTGAAGTAGGTTGGGAAATCATTTTAGGGGAGATGACTGGTTTTCAGTCTGGTTGAAAGTAAAGGCTTTGTTTCTTTTTATAGCAAACCACTGTTCTGGACTCCAGTGCCCTGAAAACTCGTGTGCAGCTCAGCAAAAAGAGACGCCGTCGGGCTCCTATCTCCCACTCTCTTAGAAGAAGCAGAGGGCTGGAGTTTGAAAACAGATTTTCTTTGACAGAAGAACCAGATAATACCTGGATGTTTAAAGATTCCACAGGTATCCCTCAACTATCTGAAATAATTAGCCATAATCAACTTGGTTGTAAGGGCAGGAATTTCTAAGTGGTGTAACATACCTGAAGTTGCATCAAGGTTTAACAACAACATCCTCCTCCCACCTCTTGGCTCATCCTTTAAATTGAGTCTTCTCCTTCCTTCCTTGGAGCCTTGGGAGTGAGGGAAGCAGCAGTAGCCAGACCTACAGCAGACCAGGGTGATGGAGAGCGCCGATCCAACTTTCTTTAGCTTCTGGCTGCTGACTTAAGAGAATTTTGTTCAGTGAGAAAACACTGAGTTTAGAGACTGCTGCGGTTGGATGCGTTGTCTGGCACTTTCTTTGTCTCTAAGCCTGCGTGTTATTGATGACAGCAACGGTAACTGTTCATATTCTATAGGTGCTTATAAATATTCTTTCTTTCTAGCATCTGTAAGTAACACAGGGCTGAAGAGGCATAGTTGAGGATAAATCCATTCTATTAAAAACATGTCCTGGCCTGGCCTGTTCCTTAGGATGCAATAAAGAAGCATGTCAGGCCTTGAAAATCCTCGCTCGTCGAAGTGAACGGGTGGCGTAGTGCCATGATTTAGTACCAACACCACTTTGGTGCCGTGGTGATATATGCTGCAGATACCCTTTTGATATTCCCTGAGTGGAGGCATTACTGGTGTTGGAGGCTGGTGATGTTTTTGTAACTGAGGGGACCTATTAAAAAAGTCAGATTTGTGACCTGCCATTTCTGTGTTCCCTTGAAGCCTGTGAAGGGAGGGAAGAAGGTGGGATCTAGAACAAGGTCTAGATTAGCCTACTGACTAATGGTTTTTCCCCCTCTGCTTTTATTTAAAAAAAAACAAACAAACAACCCAAACAATTAATTAGAAGAGAAGCAAACTATGCAACAGGAAGATTCTGATGAGGAAGACAAGATACAGCATCCTGCGAGATCGTCTTCTGTACATGCTCAGAGACTTCCCGTGTTTCCAGGAATGGACCACTCTGTTCTCAAGGTGAGCACAGGCAGAACCCATCGGATGAGGGACACCACTCCAGCAGCTGCAGGTGCTCTCTAGGAGTAGAGCCAGGAAATTCTGCTGAAGAGGACAGTGGTGTTTGGGGGGGGGGGTGGCCGTGATGAGGAGAAAAATCTTGCAGTTATCTTCCTCGCTTTTCACTGTTGGCTAGAAATATTAAGTGATTTGGGGAAAAAAAATAGTTTTGCAATAGCAAACGTGCTTTCAGAACTGCATAAATTTATAAGGAGTCTCTTTACTGATTTCAGGCATGGACTTTTTTGGTTTTGTAAATCCGAGTTTTGTTTTGCGTTGCAAAAAGAGTCTGAATGCTGCATTAAAATGGACCTGTTTTATTTATTTCTATTTTTTAGGCTCAGCTGCGGAAAAGACAAGAGTCTGAGAGTCCTGGCGAAATGGGTTCTGCTCAGCTCTTCAAATCCCCCAAACCACAACTGCAGCTTGGAACGCCTGGCAGCAGACTGCTGCCCTCCAGTGTAGAGAAGGAGGACAGGTAAGAGGCTTCCACCACCGTCAGGAAAATGCTAATGCTCATTTTGGTGGAAAAAAAAAACAATGTAAATAGGCTTCCCAAGGCTTTATTGTATATTTATTTTTTTGTTTGCTTCTGTAATGAGTTTTCATAATTAAAGAATAAAGAGTATTTTTTTGACATTTTAGGTCAGAAGAAAAGTCTCCACAGTGGCTGAAGGAGCTGAAATCAAAGAAGAGACAGAGCCATTACGAGAATCAGGTTTGAAAAGGTCGGTTCCGACAGAGAGGAGGCTTTGCTCAGGGAAAGTACGCGGTGACGGAGCGCATGGAAAGTGTTTCCTTGTGTCAGTGTAAGAGCTCTGTAAGCACAAGCATCAGAGCAGCCTTTCTGTCAAAGGGAATGTGAAATACTGGTGTGTCGAGGCAGAGCAGGTTTCACAGAAGTGAAGTTTTCATTCACAAGTGATACGGTTTCGCTGATTGTTTCTCTGCAGATAATTCTATTTTAACAGCACTCAGTCCGTGCTGGGGGTTTCATAGTGCTCCCATCAAGCAAGAGTCACAGAATCATGGAATGGTTTGGGTTGGAAGGGACCTTCAAGATCATCCCATTCCAATTCCCCTGCCATGGGCAGGGACACCCTCCACTACACCAGGTTGCTCAAAGCCCCATCCAACCTGGCCTTGAACACTTCCAGGGATGGGGCAGCCACAGCTTCTCTGGGCAACCTGTGCCAGTGCCTCACCACCCTGAGGGAAAAATTTCTTCCTTAGATCTCACGGAAATCTCCCCTCTTTTTCAGTTTAAATCCATTGCCCCGTGTTCTGTCACTCCACGCTCTTGTCCAAAGCCCCTCTCCAGCTTTCCTGTAGCCCCTTTAGGTACTGGAAGGCTGCTATAAGATCACCCCGGAGCGGCCTCTTCTCAAGGCTGAACAGCCCCAACTCTCCCAGCCTGTCTCCAGAGCAGAGGTGCTCCAGCCCTCACGTCATCTTCATAGTACATGTTTGTGGGGACTTTCCTGTCGAGGCGCTGAGAAGGCTCTGACTGGTGCTTGGCCATGTCATACCAGTACTTCAGTTGCTGCTGTTTTTTTTTTCTTTCCAGATAGCGATTCTAACTAGAAGAAGCTAAAGAAGTTTAACAGAAGCCTTAACTCATCTGAACCTAAAATTCACATGTCATGTTGCTGCTGTTTGCTTCCTGCCTCAACTGCTATGTGCATGGTGCCTTCCTGTTCCGTGGAGAAAGCTGCTTCATCTTCATAGTCAAATACAAAGCTGTATCTTCCCAGACACGGGCGGAGAGGCGTGGTAGTCCTGCCTGGAAGGAGATCCGGTGGTTTGTAGTCAGCACTTGGGAAAGCTTTGAAAGATTGTGGAATTCGATGGAGAAGTGCTGTGCACCAGAAGAGTCCCCTCACTCCGGTTCTGCGTAGGTCTTCAGCCACTCGGAGTATGACTTTGGTAGATGGGTCAGGTGTAGGGCTGGGCTTTGTGTTTGCTTATGAAAACAAGAATTTTAATCAAATTTATCTCTTTTTTTTTTTTTTTTTTTTGTGAAAAAATAGTAAGCTCCTATTTAGTATGAAGTTTGTGGAAGGTGAGAGTGAAAGAACAAATGATGTTTACTGCCATATTGAAAAAGGAAACTTGATTATTTTTTGTAAAATGTATTTTTGATTGGCTTATATTTACATGTGATCTGCTGGCCTAGCAGATGAATATAATTTTTAGATGAACAAAATGTTAACTTTTGTCACTCTTGAAATGATATATTCTGTGTTTTGTCAGCATGTGGAATAATTGCTTCATTGGAATGTCTTTCCTGAAAAGGATCAAGCAATAATGTCAACCAGTTCTCTTTAAGGAAAAAAAAAAAAAAAAAAAGAAAAATGTAAATACTGTTTTTATAGCAAAAAAGGAAGGGAAGAGGGAGGATGTTACACTCATATCAGGGTTTCAGTTAATTGTTGAATGTCACTTTAATAGCAGTTTGGATAGTCCCACTTCATATTTTTATTCGTTAATCTGTAAATACCAGGTTTAAGTTTTTTATTTTTATGCTGATTTTGTGGGATAACCTAAACGTGAGCTTCAGTTTCTCAGATGATTTACTTTTCTTCCGGTAAGACCGGTGTCACGGTAGCAGCGTCGATCTCTCACGCGTAACACGGGTGTTCCGAATGTCACCGATATCCCAAACCTGGTCCTGTCTTTGGATAATGACTCGGAAATAGCAACCCAGGTGTCCGTTTGAGACGTGCTTTCTTCCTTCCCCCAGTAAGTGCCCTTTCCAGTAAACCTTGAAAAACGCTGCCCGTCGTGTCGGTGTTCCTCGCGACTCGTGGCGGCCGGACGCTGCTCCTGCGTTGCGCTTCCCTGGCCTGCTGATGGGCTTCTCTAGACATTCAAGACAAAGCACCAGCACTTGAACTTCCTTTTCCTTTTTTTTCCACGCCGTGCGTTTCGGAAGGCTGGATGTACGAGGGGTTACCGCGTCGGTGTGTGCCCGGTCTGCCGGCTGGCGAGGTCGTAGCTGCCAAAACCATGTGCCAACTCTCACGGCGGAGTCACAGAGGAGGTGATTTTTCAGTCCCAGTCTGCTCGTGGGAAATAGCAGCAGTATGTCAGGAGGCAAGTCCCATATGCACGTCTCTCTCTCCCGGATTTAGTTCCCGGAGCAGCTCCCTGTACCTAACGGAGACAAAATGAATATGTTTCTGGGATGTAAAACATCTGTACTGCCTGATTCCACAGCAGAGCTGTCGCCACTGTTACAGTTTTACAGCCCCTTCTGCTCCCAGTTAAGAAAAGATCACCCAAGAGCTCTGCCACACGGTTCATCCCACGTGGCTTTTCCCCGGGTGACGGAGACGGGCTCCGGTGGGCGCAGTCGAGCAGACTGGCAGAGCTCCTCGGAGCTGACTTTGAAATGTTGCACATATTTTCTTTTTCCCTTTTCTTTAGACGGCGGTGGGAAAGGCGGCTCTTTAAGATAAGCTTTGCAGATGTGGCTTTTGGGATATTTTTTTTTTTTTCATGGCAGCACTCGGGGGTCCGTCGGTCGCGTGCCACAGGTGGTGCCCGCGCCTCGGCCAGCCCCGAGCGGCGTTGGCAGGAGTGAGGATTGCTTTTCTCACTCAGATGGAGTGGGGCTTACTCCGACCCATATCTAGAAATCAGGTAAATCCCCCCTGCTTACGAGAATATTGACACAGGCTTGATTTTTGAATTCAGCAGGTTGACAGTGTCGCATTACCAGTAGTTGGAGGATTTACTGGTTCTTGGTCTAATAAACGAAGGCCGGAAATTCTGTAACTGGGGTGTTTGCTCTGTGGTTGAGGAAACTGAGGGGATTAACACTAGGTTTCCACAAAGCCCTTTGAATGTGTATGCATTTCCACATCTGCTTGGACAATGCACTGAAACTTACTGTATTTAGTAGTTTAACCTACTACTGAGAAATGTTTAATGCTTAAATGTCTAATTAAAAAGCATCTTTAGAATGTTGTTGAATGGGAAAGTGGTTTTTTCTGCTCTGTCTTTTCTTTATATTGTACATGGATTAAATACCTATTTCCTTCTCTTCAGGTTATCACTATGTAATAAAAGATCTATAAATATGTTATTCTTAAATGACAGAACACACTGTAATACACTTTATATAATTCTATTTTAATTGCAAATAATGCCCGTTGAATTTTTTACACTTTCACTTTTGTCGGCACATACTTTCTTTTGCTATTAATAGGAGATGGGAGCGTGCTCTTAATTTCAGCACTTTCTTCATGTCTGCATTTGCATTAATTTCTGGGACCTGCCCTAGAGCAGGTTTCAACTCTTGTCCTAACAGTGTCTGAGTAATAACGGACGCGCTGGAGATCCCGGTGCTCCCCGTGGAGCGCAGTGCCCTCGTCCCGTCCGTTACAGCTGCGCAGCTTTTTAGCTGCATCAGTAGAGTAATGGCTTTTAAGAGGGAAAGTACAGGGTTTGTGGAATTTGGAAATACGTCGTTCCTGATGATGACACTTCTCTTGTTTTCCGTGACGCTACCAGAAATCCTCCCTCCCCCTTTTAGTTTGGAATTCGGAGTTTGGCACTGCCATTCTGCTTCTTTGTGGGAATCCCAGTTGTGGACTCCTTCCTTTTTACTCTTCTGTTTGCAAATCCACCTTTTTCAAGCCCTTTGGTTTGAGTGGCTGTTGGAAGTTTCGCTGCTTTGGTTTTCCTTCCTGCAGAGAAACGTGCAGCGTTTGAAGCCTGAACCCTTCCTGTCCAGCGCCCCCGAAGTGGAGCCTCCCACCTTCTTGCCTGCACGGAAGTTCGCTTCACCCTCTTGCTTGTCTGCAGACAATTCTTGGCAGACTGTCCAACGCACTTATACATTTGGTAAATTTAGAAATGCAAACTGTTAACCGGCCATTTCACCTGGAGCAGCAGCCGCCGTCTGTAACCGTCAGTGCTGGTGCGGACGCAGCGCGGCTCCTGGCCCGGGCGGTTTGGTGCCAAGGTGTTGGACGGAATGCTGACGGACCGGAGTAGCTGAGCGGGATCAGGAATCCCCTGAGTGGGATCAGGGCAGTTCGAAGACAAATGCCATGTAAATAGTTTATATAAACTATATTTCTATTTCTATAAAACACAGCGCTTTAAAAATCTGCGCCCCAGTAACAGGCGCTTCTGTCTCTGCGCCTTTTCCCCCTCACCATGGAAAAATTCCGATGCCGGTAGCGCGGTGTCATTCCCTGGTGTTCCTGCGGGGGGGAAGCGAGAGCAGCTTTGGACACGTTCCACTTGGAACGTCCTCTGGAGCCCGAGGAGCTGCGTGTCCAGGTCTCCTGCGATGCCCAAACACGCTCCGTGTGTGCGGTACCCCGGCGCGGTCGGTGAGTCCCCGGAGCGGAGCAGGATTCCCAGCACGGCCAGGGCTGCAGCTGGCGTGGGAAAAACCCCAAAGTCAGTTGAATGTGGCATTTTGGGAGTTGGCCGCGTGTTCCACACGTGGGTGGTGAGGGGGTTTGCTGATCACTTAACTGCAGATACCTTCGGACAGTAAATCCGCCCTCGCTCCGAGGATCCGTCGGATAAGTCGCCCCAGCCTTTGGGTGGGAGCCGGGGTGGGAGTCCCGCTCCGGCCTCAAATAGAAACGTGGAGGAAAAGCAACTGTTTGTTTTCTCCTCGAGCTCTGCGCTCCTGAGGGCTGTTGGCGGTGGCTTTTCCTGCATCGTTGTGAATTAAAGGAAATCAAGGTGGGCTTTTGAGGAGGACGGGGTCTGTGCCGAAACCTGGAGAAGGAGAGCCGAGGTCTAATGGCTCATGGATTTTTCTATATTAAACGTGATGACATCAAGCCTGGTTTTAAAGGAGCTATTGTTCAGATAAAGTTTTATATCATTCCACGTAGCCTTATAGAATATGTAAATATGGGTCTCTCTAAATATATTGTGCTGTACAAAATAGTTTGTACTGCCTAGTTTCCTAAATAATAAAGATATTCTGGCGGTTGTGTATTGTGCTGTGAAATTATGATTCAAGTTTAGCTTTGCCAGATATTAAAAAAAATATATATTTCTAACAGTATATTGTCAGCATTTCTCAACGGGGTTTAAGAGGCTGACAGCAAAAGGAAACCGAGTTCTGTTGGGAAGACAAATCGATGGGATCTAGTGCCCCTTCTGTCATGTTTTTGCAATTGCTGTATCAACATGCAAGCTCCACGAGTTTGGGAAAGGAAAATTCCCGGGCACTGCGGCTGCTCCAGTGACGTGTGGTGGGGACGCTGGCGAGGAGCGGGCTGGTGAGAACAACTCTGTGTTTCGAATCTGTGGAAAACGGATGCTGTCATGTTTGGTGAGAGAGACAAATGGACCTTTTCCCTGCGCTCCTTTGAGAAGTGATTTTTGTACTCACAGCCAAACAGTTTCATTTTCAAAGGGAAGATGGAAACATCACAACGAACGTGGCTGGACATCAGTGCCGTGATGGGGAGGAAGAACCTTTGCCGTAAGCAGCTCCAGCGTGTGGTGGGATACAGCAAACTGCAGTGGGGAGCTCTGTCTGGGAGCTGTCGCAGACAGGATGGTTTTATGGCCATCTGCCAGTCAGACCAACATCAAATTCATCCAGCTTGGCCAAGGGGAGCAGCTTTTTGGGAATTTCGGTGTATGTTTCATGTGTAGTTCTCAGTTTCAAGATGAGAAGTACCAAGAGCAGGTAGAAAACCCTGCAAGAACCGTAGGAAACGGAGATGTAGTAAAAGAAGAGGGAACCAGCCCCGCTCCCGGCGGAGTGAAGCGCTCTGAGGTTGGCAGCTGGCGTGGAAGGGCTGCCCGTTCCCACGTTAGATCTTGCTTTGCCTCTAAAGATGGATCAGCCCACGTGCGAGGCGCTTGGCTGCCCAAAGACCCTGTTGGTCCCCTGGAGCCCGGGCAGGGTGATGGTGATGCAGGTGTGCTCCCAGGAAACACGCAGGGCGTGGAAAGGAGCCGGCGTGCGAGGAAGGAGAAGGGGCTCGATGGAGGTAACTGCCTGGTGAGGGTCAACGCTGAAGCAAGAGCCCCAACCTCGAGTGCTGGTCCTGCCCTCCCACCGTGGTACCAGCCACCCCCGGGTTCCTGCGGAGCTCCCAGGAGCTGACACCGGCCCCGTGTCTCCGCTTGCCTTGGAGCCCAAACGAGCTGTAAATATTTTGCATGTTTTTTTTTTTTCGCTTTGCGCTGTGCTTGGTTTCTAGGCTAAACCCTCCCGTTAACTGCTGATGGGAGAGTTTTCCAGAGGACCTGGCAAGAAGCGGCGTGAACGTGCTGATGTGAATTTCGCCGTTAATCTGCTGTCAACCGAGTGGCACATTTTTAAGGGACAGCCGGGAGAAATCCGAACAACGGTTCCATAGCCCGCTGCGAGCCCGCGCTATTGAGATGAAATCTCATGGATGGAATTCAGTGGACGCAGCTGCTGTATCAGCGTCCAAATAATGTGCTGTTCTGTTCAGAAGCAACCCATAAATAGCAGGGCCGGCCGCGGCGGCCGGCCGGCAGAGCGGAACCGCGCCGGGGGAGGGAGCGGCGGGCCCCCGCTG